AGAGAGAGAGAGAGAGAGAGAGAGAGAGAGAGAGAGAGAGAATTTTTTAATATTTATTTTTTAGTTTTCGGTGGACACAACATCTTTGTTTGTATGTGGTGCTGAGGATCGAACCTGGGCCGCACGCATGCCAGGCGAGCGCGCTACTGCTTGAGCCACATCCCCAGCCCCCCTCATCTCCCTTTCTCAGTCAGCTCTGCTCAGTTTCTTTCAGCTTTGTATACTTACTGGAAGTCTAGGTATAGTTTTATTAGACAAAAGTGTTTCCCCTTGAAAATCACCAATTTAGTTCAATCTGGTATACCTGTCTCATTCTAGAATGAAGAAATGGAGGCTATAACTTCTTCAAAGCCACCTGTTCTTTTTCCAGAGGCATTTAATTCTGTCCTAATATCTATGATCTATACTAGAATGGACAGAGACAGTCCAGGATTAATAAGAGTGGATGGACACACATTTATGGAACTGTGATCTCTGCCATCATTAAGGGTATAGTTTCCAGGGATCTTGAGAACTGGGATCTAGTGAGAGAAGGAACAGCAGGTTGAATTCAGTGGTGGAGGTAGAGGTGAAGAAATCTCAGAAGGCCATCTTTGCAGCTTGGGGCTCAATCATTGTCCAGACAACTGTGTACTGAGCACAGGGTGTTTAGTGATTCCTTGGTGGGAAGGGGCTGACAGCGCCATCAGCACATGCCTGGTAAGATGTCCCACAGAAGCCTTGGAGCAACCCTGGGCTTCAATGCCAGGATGAGGTGATAAATCCATACTTGGATAACTCAGGATTATCTAACTGTGCTTAATTTGTAGTCAGAGTTTTTCATTTAAAAAATTTTTAGCAGGAAGTATAATTAAACTCTAAACCATGATTCGAACTCCAGATAAACATCAGGATCACCTTTAGACTTTTAAACAATGCTGATCCTAAGAACTTCTTTTCCAAACAGATGATCAAGGGCCTGAAAATTTATATATGTATGTTTATATACATACATACAGTTCCCCTGGTGGTTTTGATTCTCAGTCATCCCAGCCCAAACAAGTGCTTCTCAAACTCACCTATACCTGGGGCTCTTGCTAAATTGCAGGCTATGTTAGTAAAACTAGACTGGGGGCTGAGATCTTATATTTCTAAAAAATTTCCACGGAAGGACAATGCTGCAAGTCCATGGATGACTCTTTGAGTAACAATGCTCTGAATCCTTTTCAAAGACATTTGTGACCCCTCAACAAGAATTTGCTGAACATAAACTGTGTGCCCAGCATTCACTTGGCATTCCAGAGATTTCCATATGATAGACCAGGAAATGCATTCAGTTCAGTGGCACAGGGTTTCAGCAGCAAGCACAGAAGGCTGTGTCAAGTGGCAGAGTGTGTGTTGAAGGTGTGGAACAGAGGCATCATAATGCAATTATTCTCCTGATTCTTGAAAAGCTAAGTCATTCTGCCTTGGCAACCAGCAATCAGAGATGTCAGGTGATAGATTAAAACTTGACACCTAATTTGATCTAAGGAGAACTGAAAATAATAAGTACTTTATATTTGTGGAGCACCTTATTTTTCCAAAGAGCTCCAAGCACTTTACTAACTCCCTCGCCTGGGGAAGGAGGATGGAGGGGGAGCGTTAATAACAGTCTTCATGGTTCTCAAGCCTTATTATTAACTGAATGGTGGCCAGCTGTTCGCAGTGCCCCTTCCTCCCTCAACCTGAAAAGCAGTACAAGAAAAGAGGCCTTAAATTTCCATACATGCCATAGATGGGCAGCAAGAGTTTGTGTGGGGGAGGCAATGGGAAAGGAAGTTCTTACCATCCCAGCTCAGCCACTTCCTGGCCATGAAACTCTGGTCAGTCATTCAGAGGAGAGTAGATCAATGATCTGAAATGTTCCTACTGACCCCAAATTCTACAGTAGATGGCACTGGACTCTTTTAAGGAGGCTAGGATAGAGTGGGAGTATGTATGAATGAGAGGACCCTTAATCCTTTCTGCTAAAGGGAATCAAAATCCTCATGCAAGAAAATACCTACAGTGTTAGTCTATTTTTCATTACTATGACAAAATATCTGAGGAAAGCTACTCATAAAGAAGTTTACTTAGCTCACAGTTCAAAAGGATCAAGGGAATGTCACCTGCACTGACTTAGCTCTGGTGAGGACCCTCTTGGCCACATCACATCATGGCAGATCACATCATGGCAGGAGCAAGTGTGGGAGGAATAAATTATATCACCAAACAGGAAGCCAAAAAGAAGAGGAGGGGTCAGGCGTACTGTCTTTATGACAACCTTCTCAGGAGAACTAAGCAAGATCCCACAAGAACTACCTTCATCTTTTCCAAGGACACAGCCTCAATGACCTTATGCCCTCCCACTGGTCTCCACCTCTCAAAGGTCCCACCTCCCAACTTCATACTGAGAA